CCACCACCAACACAGAGAGAGAATCAATTCTTCTTTTTATTTTTTTTTTGAGACAGAGTTCCACTTGTTCGCCCAGGTAAGAGTGAGTGCTGTGGGTACCTATCTCACAGCACCATCACACTCTGGCATCAAGTAATCTTCTGACTCAGCCTCAGCCGAAAGTACACATGGGACTACAGCACTGTGGCCACATGCCTGTAATTCCTACATATTAATAGTATAGTTGCGCCAATTATTTCTTTCTATTTATAGATACGCAGACGGGTCTGCTTTGCTTCAGGCTGGTTATCGAACTCCTGACATCAGAGCCATCTCTCGCCTTGGCCTCCGTGACTGGATTGAATAAGGCGTGACACACCATGCCCGGAACCACTTTCTTCCGCTATATACCTGATAGCACTCACACCTGCCTGCTTCTTATGCGCGCCATCTGTCTCGTGCCTGAAGGATCGCCGATACTCACGCCCAACACCATACGCTGTACGAGGCCAACCACAACCACCAAACCCCCAACCCAAACCCACACGCCCCCGGCGGTGCATGCCGCGAGGGAGGGGCACCCGACCCACCGTCTATCCAACCTTCCAACTTCGGAGTACCGCTGTGGGAGCGCGTCACTTCGGCCTGTATGAAGACTGTGCCCACCCTTTGCTTTGAGGCCTTGCCTCTCAGCAGGGCGTTGAACCACCAGAAACTACCCCACCGTCAGAGACCGTCCGCCAAGGGATTAACATTCTAGAGGGAGGCAGACTGGAACCCGATACCAGGCCCTGGACGTGTGTATGAGTTTTAGGTAAGTGGCAAAGGAATTCCCAGACCAGGAGGCGAAAATAGTGTAGAAGTCATTCTCGGTGTTCTGGTACAGTCAGAGACGCTGTTACAACTTACTTTTCTTGGTTTGTGAGAGACTGCAGATGTACCTAAGAGCTCACAGCACTCATCACGTAGCAAATATCGAATGTGCTTGGAAAGCCGCAGTGCGTTCGGTGCCTGCAGGGCCGCAGCTATCCCTGTTGGTGGCTGAGAGCGACCACCAACTGGACCAGATGCCAAGGGCTGCCACTCCTAGTAGGGGTTGAGGCTGCACCACCCAACAGACGCCTGACGAAATGTCTGCTGCTGTCCAACAGACTGGCGCGAGAGAGTGTGAGCTCCTGTGGTGTGAACCTCGGTCTTGCTGAAACGCGTCACCCTAGCTGTTCTGCAGCCATTAAGAAAATACTAAAGGACAGCTGTCTCTCCAGTGTGTGGGGGTCCTTCGTCACTTGTGGTCGTTGGTCTCTCTTGAGTGTGGGCAGAGTGTCTGGGCAAGTCTTCCCCAGGCAGGCAGTGAAGGGAGCTGGAGCCTGTGTCCCCCCAGCATCTCCAGGGAAACCCAGCCCTCAGACGGCGCCCTGCCCTTCAGATGAAGGCAGCAAGTTGCTCAATACACCCACTGCAGTAGGAGCGAAGTGCAGAGATTTAGTTACTCGGAGTGTGCTGAGCCAGGGGGCTGTGAGTCGGGAGGCATCGTCTGACGCCAGGCCACTGTGAGGAGAAGTGAAAAGGATGGGGGAGGGGAAGCAACCGATGCAGCAGGCGGCTTTGCAGAGAGGACGCTTTGCTGGGCACAGGTGAGAGCCAGCCCGTGTGCCGCCCATCCCTGGCTTTCCCGGCTTTGCTTTTCAGGCGACTCGCCCAAAACAGAGCAAGATCTTTGTCCAAGGAAGACGCAAGAAGGTGGTCGCCCGTTCCACCGAGTCGGGCCACGCCGCTGGTGGGCTTGGCTGCTGGAGCACGGAACGGAGGCCCGTGACTGAAGGTGGGTCTGGGCAGAGCCACTCTGGGAACGGCTTGTCGGGTGGGTGCTTGGGGAGTGACAGGTCTCCTGGGACGGCGGGCGGAAGCCAGGAGGCAGGAGTAGAGCTGCATGTTCGTCTGGCTTGAGCCGTGGCCGTCAGTTACCGGACTGACTTCCTGAAAGTCGGAGCACGACCTGTGAGTCGGGGATTGGCATGTGTGCTGTCTGCTCACGGACGTGACTCCTGGAACGACTGAGAGGTGAGCTTGAGAACACGATTTTCAAAATACCCGCTCGGGTCGTTGCACGATTGTCTAACTGAAAAATCTGTTCTTATGCAAGTGGAATTAAATAATGACTATAAAAGGCGTTCTGAAAAACCTGTGGAATCACAACGTTGAGGATCCCAGTGACTCTGAGGAGATGTATCTGTTTGGGGATGTGGCAACTGCTTTATGCTGGAGCCCATGCCAGGTTGGCGTTGGTTTGAGGCTTCACTTGAGAAACAGCCACACTGTGTTTCCGACCCTACAGTTGCACACTTTGCTGTAGACATGCTACACACCCCCGCGGGGCATAGCCAATGCCGGTCCCAACTCTCCCTTGTGCACACTTGCTGTATACATGCACACAAACGGCAATAGCCATGGTCCTACCCTCTGTGGCACACTCGCTGCAGACATGCACACAGGATAGCCATGGTTCCCACCCTCAAGTGCACACGTCAACTGCAGACGTGCACCACACAGTCCGCCAATGCGTTTCCACTCTCCTGTCACCCGCCACCCCTCGCTTGCAGCATGCACACGGCAATAGCAGTGGTTTCTCACCTCAGTGCACACTCTTACAGACGTGCACAGGCGGCATCAGCAGGTTGGGCCATCTTGGAATGTCAAGTGTCCATTGGGTGGTTTTCCGAGAGGCTTGTCAGACCTTGCTGTGGGCATCCTGTTTTATAGCAGCATTGAAAAAACTCAGGCACATCGAAGATAAATACATTAACAGATTAATCTCAAAATAAATTGAAATGCAGAAAAATCCATGGATGAACAAATACTCACAATTTCTAATTTCATGTCTCACATCAGAATTTTTCACTTTACTGATGGGCCCAGAAAAAGCCAGGCGCAGTGCTTCACGCCTTTGATCCTAGCACTCTGGAAGCCCAAAGGCCGGAAGGCATGTTGCTTGCTGGAAGTTCAGGAGAGTTTGAGAACAAGCTTGAGCAAGGAAGAAGATCCCATCTCTTCTAAAACAATAGAAGAAATTAGCCGGTCATCACGTCGATGGTTTGCGCTGTATCCCAGCTACTTTGGGGGCCTGAGGCAGGAGAATCGCTTGAGCCAGCGAGTTGGAGGTTGGCTGTGAGCTAGGGTGATGCCACTTGTTAGCTCTAATGGGCAACAGAGTGGAAGAGCTGTCTCAAAAAAAAAAATCAGATTAAATTAGTAATAATGAAAAAATATGTAAGGCTTGATGTTTCTGCTAGGGAATAGATTGTGAAGTTACCTGTCTTTACATCATCGCTATAGTCTTTTCTAGTTTTTTTTTTTTTTTTTGCATCACGAGACAAGAGGAGTTTTATTTTCTGGCTAGCCAGGGTCCAAGCCCAGAGCACCAACGCAGTGGCCACTTCTCGCAGGCAAAGGACCTATTTCTAGGTTTGGTTTCAATGGTAATTTTAATTTAGTTGTTGAGTTCTAAAATTAAAGCTTCCTTTTTGGATTTCTTCCAGGGCCTTCTGGCATGGTCACCTTTGCTGCCGTGACTCGAACAGCAGTGGTACAACAGCAGGCCTGCCCCTGGTAGGGTCTTCCTCTGTCCCTCCGTGTGGTGGGGCTCCCTGTTTAAGGGCAGTGGACCCTTCTTCTTTGAGGCAGCAAGTGAGGACAGTTCCTGTTTCCTCTCGTGCATCCTGGGGTTTTCTGTAGTGCAGGCAGGGGTCGGGAGGTTTGCAGCTGGCCGTTTTAGGGTGAGCTTTGTCCTCATGCCTCTTGCTTTGTCTCGCTACTAGAGGCCTGTCTCTTTGGACTTGGTATAGGCCTATATTTTACGAGGAAAAAACCACTGCATGTGGTAACTGTTGGACCTCTGGCAGGATCTGTGTTCCTACGAGAACGTCGTCTTTCGAGTCAGGATCCTCTTGTCTGTTTACGTAGACGTGCCACGGTGCAGACCTGGCTTTCCCTGCTTTGAGAACCTCCAACGACAAGTTTCTCTTGCATTGCGCCGCTTCCCTAGCGCTGCAGCATCCGCCTCCGCTCCTGCCGTCTCCGGTGTTCATAGGTTCCATCGCCGCGCGGACCAAAACGCGCTCTGGGCTTCCGCAGATGCTTCCCCAGAGACCAGTATCTCTCTTCCACCCAGCAGGCGCACGCAGCTTGTTTCGAGGGCATTCTGTGCATGGCCCTGGGTGGCCCGAGCCTCGGAGGCCATCTCCTTCAAACAGGATCAGACCGTCCGGTGAGGGAGCTGGCCCCAATTTCGTCCCCTCTGTACCCGCACCTGTGAGGGGAACAGTCAGGTGAAGGGATTAACGTAGTGTGACCAAATGGAGTTTTTTGAATTTTATAAGTGTGTGTTTTATTTGTTTGGGTGTTTGTTTTTTTTGGAAGTCTTGCTTTTGTTTGTCCAGCGCTTAGAGTGAGTTGCCATGGGCGTCAGCCTAGCTCACAGCAACCTCCAAACTCCTGGGCTTCAAGCGATCCTCCCTGCCTCCAGAGCCCTCCAAGTAGCTGAGACTCACAGGCATGCACCACCATGCCCAGCTAATTTTGTTCCTATATTATTATTGTTGCCAATTAATTTCTTCTAGTTATATAGTAGACGATGGGGATACTCGCTCCTTTCATCGAGGCTGGTTTTTGAACTCCTGACTCGAGCAATCCGCCACCCCTCGGCCTCCCAGAGTGCTAGCGATTACGAGGCGGAGCCCCGCGCGCCACCAGGCCTTTAAGTGTTGTTTTTTAAAAGGATGAGCCTATGGTCTAAAAGGAGATTTGGAAATAAGCAAAACTTAAAATCATTTCACTGGGCAAAATAGTTACACTTAGGGGTGCAGGCTCACTGGCCTAGTTAATCCTAGGCACTCTGGTGAGGCCGAGGCAGGCGGATTGCCAAGGTCAAGAGTTCGAAGAACCCAGCCGACAAGCAAGAGCGAGACCTGTCATCTTACCTACTTAAAATAGAAAGCAAATAATTGGCTAACTAAAAACATATATGTAAACAAAATAATAGCCGGTGCCAGTGGCTCCACCTACTTAATCCTAATTCCACTCGGGAGGCGCCAAGGGTGGGCGGATTGCTCGAGGTAGGAGTTCAAACGAGCCTGAAGCAAGGCGAGACCCCATCTTCTACTATAAATAGAAAGAAATTAATTGCAACTAATATACGTAGAAATAATTAGCCAAGCATGTGGTGCATGCTGGGCACAGAGTGAGACTCTGTCTCAAAACAAACAAAAAAAAATTAGCGGGTATGGTGGCGCCATGCCTGTAGTCCCAGCTACCTCGGAGGCTGAGGCAGGAAGATCACTTGAGCCCCAGGATTTTGAGTTGCTGTGAGCTAGGCTATGCCACAGCACTCTAGTCCAGGCAACAAAGTGGACTTCTGTCTCAAAAAAAAAAAAAAAATGTGTACATATATCAGACTATCAGATCATTTAACAGACTATAGATCCATTTAATTGGTTAGTTATTGGTAGTGGCTGTATAAAGCTGGAATAAATTGGAGCAGACTATTCTTAAGCTGTCACTTCACTGGGACTTTCAGAGAGGTGAGAGCCCCCCAAGATGGCGTGGAGTGAGCCCCGCTGTGTGTCCTTAGTAGTTGATCTTTACACAAAGAGCATGTCCTAGAACTGTAAGGGGCGGTTAACAGGGTCTGGCTGGCTGGCCCTGCAATGTGACTCTGGGCTGAAATGCCCAGGGGGCGAGCTGGTGGCCCCAAGGTCCGTGACAGCACTTCGGGGCTGAGGGTGCCCTCTGTGACCCCACACCGCAGGGGCCCAGGATGACCTGAGGAAGGTCACCCGCATCGCCTACTCCATGGTGAAGCAGTTCGGGATGGCGCCTAGCGTTGGGCCCGTCTCCTTCCCAGATGCCCAGGAGGGCCCTACGGGTGTGGGACGGCGCCCCTTCAGCCAGGGCCTGCAGCAGATGATGGATCACGTGAGTCCGCCCACGGAAGGGGCGTCTGGTTTGCCACGGGAGGGCCTCTGCTTGCTCAGAAGAGGCCCAGTGGCTTCCGAGCGGAGAGCCTGATGCAGGCCCAGTGTGGGTTCTGCCGTAGCTCTGACCTGCCGAGTCGTTTCTCTGGGTGAGGACCTAGACTCTCCTGATGAGATCATGACTGTGGATCAGGGCAGAATCTCAAACACACTGAATGATGGAGCCCACACGGCCCTGCCCGTGGGACCAGGACAGTGTCTGTCGTTTGCTCTTGATGCAGCCGTGGGTGTGGCAGAGGCAGGCGGGGCCACCTCCAGGAGGGGCCTGCAGGGTGGGAATGGCATGGGGCAGGGTTCTTGAACCACCATTCCCGGCGCTCAGCGGCACTTCAGAGGCTGTTTGCCGGCAGCTGAGTTCTGTTCCCACGAGAGGAAAAGCCTTACTTCCTGGACCTGAGGTTCGTTTCTATACTTTGCGCCGGACCCCGGCTGGAGATCGTGGCCCTTGGCCTTGCTTGTGACAGTCTGCCCCCTTCGTCTGCAGGAAGCGAAACTGCTGGTGGCCACGCTACCAGACACACTGAGCGGGTGCTGCTGGACAACCTGGACAAGCTGCAGGCGGTGAGGCTCGGGGGGTGGGAGGTGGGAGCCGTGGTCGCATGGTGCTGACACAGAGCGCGCCTGCCCACCCCGGCAGGAAGTGCTTCCAGTGTGCACAGAGTATAGAGTACGGGGGCTGGTCAGTTACCCCCAGCTCCACGGAAATCCTGCGTTTTCCATGCTTTGTACCATGTACACGTCAAGCCATTTCCCTCAAAGTAGCAAGAACTTTCTAATCCTCCTCTACTCATATTAGCAATTAATTAATGTTTTTTCAGTTTTGTTTAATCTTTATCTAACCTGCACACTTTTTTCCTTCCAGTTTTTTTTATTTTTTTATTTTTATTTATTTTGAGACAGAGTCCCACTCCATTGCCTGGCTAGAGTGCCATGGTGTCAGCCTAGCTCGTAGCAACCTCCAACTCCTGGGCTTAAGCGATCCTTATGCCTCAGCCTCCTGAGTAGCCGGGACTACAGGCATGTGCTACCATGCCCGGCTAATTTTTTCTATTTTTTTTTTTTTTTTTTTTTGAGACAGAGTCTCGCTTGTTGCCCAGGCTACAGTGAGTGCCATGGCGTCAGCCTAGCTCACAGCAACCTCAAACTCCTGGGCTCAAGCATCTCCTGCCTCAGCCTCCCGAGTAGCTGGGACTAGGCATGCGCCACCATTGCCCGGCTAATTTTTTCATAATATATTAGTTGGCCAATTAATTTCTTTCTATTTATAGTAGAGATGGGGTCTCGCTCTTGCTCAGGCTGTTTTCGAACTCCTGACCTCGAGCAATCCGCCCGCCTCGGCCTCCCAGAGTGCTAGGATTACAGGCGTGAGCCACTGCGCCCGGCCTTTTCTATTTTTTGTAGAGACAGGGTCTTGCTCTTGCTAAGGCTGGTCTGGAACTCCTGGCCTCAAGTGATCTTCCCAGCTCAGCCTCCCGAAGTGCTAGAATTATAAGAGTGAGCCACCAAGCCCAGCCTGATTTTTTTTTAAATTTTTAAATTTTTAGAGACAAGAGTCTGGCTGTGTTGCCCAGGCTGGATGATGGAGGCATTGTCATAGCTCACAGCAACCTCAGACTCCTGGGCTCAAGCAATCCTGCCTCAGCCTCCCAAGTAGCTGGGACTATAGGCATGTGCCACCATGCCCGGCTAATTTTTTGTATATATATGTTAGTTGGACAATTAATTTCTTTCTATTTATAGCAGAGACGGGGTTTCGCTCTTGCTCAGGCTGGTTTTGAACTCCTGATGTTCAGCAAACCGCCTGCCTCGGCCTCCCAGAGTGCTAGGATTACAGGCATGAGCCACCACACCTGGCCCTCGGCTAATTTTTTATATATATATTTTAGTTAGCCAATCAATTTCTTTCTATTTATAGTAGAGATGGGGTCTTGCTCTTGCTCAGGCTGGTTTCGAACTCCTGACCTTGAGCAATCCTCCCGCCTCAGCCTCCTAGAGAGCTAGGATTACAGGTGTGAGCCACCGCTCCCGGCCATGGCGGTTCTTAGCTGCTTCTTGTTTTGTTAAAGTGAGGCCCTGCTCTCTCAGGCTGGCAGTTGTGTGTTTTGGGGTCCTCAGAGTGTTGCCCCCAGGCCAGCGGCACCAGCCCCCCTGGGCCTGGTGAGCAGTGCGGCCTCAGTTGAGCAGCAGCTGAGTGTTGCTGACCAGCTGCTCTGCAGAGCGTGGTCTCCCCGCTGTGGGAGCAAGGGCAGGTGGGAACAAGGCTGCAGGCCACACTGCTCACTGAGCTGGAGCCATGTATGTGTCTGCCGGGCTGTGAGCTGCCCGCACCGTCAGTGGGCTCCAGAACGTAGTGACAGAGCAGCCCTGGAGCTGAAGTGTCCCCCTCCCGCGGTGCAGGTATAGGTGTGTTGCCCGAGGTTCAGGGGTCACCGTTTAAATGCCTTGAAAACGGGAAAGCATTTTGCATTATCAGAAACAAGCACGGTGCCCCGTGGCTGTTCTATGCGGGGCTGAGCTGTGGCAGAGGCTGCAGTCAGCGGGCGTGTCCATCGAGGGTTTGCCACCATCATGTCTAGAGTGGCAAAGTCCCTGCCCCAGGTTGTGGGGTGCTCGGCTCACCCCTCTCCCAGACTCCATCAGAGGCTCCGCATGTCACCCCTCCCCTGCCCCACAGACTACACGCCCTTGTCGGTGACGGAAACTGCAGTTGCCAAAACTAAGCAGAGATTTTGAAGGGAAGTAGGAACATTAATGGCGCTGGCAGCTGGCAAGTCATTTCCAAGGTTGGGACGGGGCATCTGTCAGAGCTGTCTTCCTGCCCCCGGCCTCCCTGGGACCAGGCCTGCGGGAGTATCCTGCTCTCAGGCAGCCCTCGAGCCTCAGCACCACCTGCCCGGGAAAGGTCCTGTCTCAGCAGCTGGCTCCATCCTAGGGAGTCTCACACGGCCACATATGTCTTTCCAGCTGGCCAACGCCCTTCTGGAGAAGGAGGTGATCAACTATGAGGACATCGAGGCCCTCATCGGCCCGCCACCACACGGGCCTAAGAAGCTAATCCCCCCGCAGAGGTGGGTCGACGCCCAGAGAGAGAAGCGAGACTCTGTGGAGGAAGCAGAGGCCCAGCAGCCCCTGCAAGGGGGGGAGCCGTCCTGGCCCAAGTAGTGGGGTCCCCCTGACTGCACATGTGGCCATCCGGAACCCAAACTCACTCCGCTGCCCTGGGATTATCTGCAGCTAAGATCTGTGCCTCCTCTTCAAGCTCCCAATGGTCTATGCTGGAGGGCTCCAGGACTGATCTCCCTCTACGTGATTAGTAAATTTCTTCGCAGAAATGGCTGATTAAACTTTGCGTGTGTAGTTTTCCCCTGTGGGGAAGGGCATCAGTGCTTGTCACAAGCGTGCACAGGGCACTCTGTCCCCAGTGGGGTGGAGGCGGCCCAGAGGCAGCACAACATTCAGAGTCTGAACAGACCCTGTTCGTGCCAGGGCTCCCAGACAGCCCGTCCCAGCTCCTGCGGCTCCCTCAGAATGCCAGCAGGACCGAGGTGGGAGGACCCTCCAAGCCACTTGTCCTGTCCATGGCTGTCATCGTGCTGGCTCGTCAGTGAGGTCACAGAGTTAGTTAGGACCAGGCCCTGGGCTCTGGGGGATTCAAACACAGCCACCTACCGCCGTGTGGACAGTCTCTATTTGGGAACCTCTCCTCTCCTGCCTAGTTGTGCAGTGTTGGGACGCCTTAGTTTTTGCTGCCCTGAGAATTGTCGTGGTACTTTACTAACAAATTCTGTGGGTAGAGACTATGTTTGTGCTGTCAGGCCGCTCTAACACAGAGGAGCCAAGGGGATTGTCCTAGATGACAAGGTCTTGTGTTTCCAGTTTATCATTTGAGCCACGCGGGAATCTGTGGCCTGGATGCTGCGGGGGTAAGGGACACAGGATGCCCAGCAGTGGGCACGGCTGTCTGTGTGCCGGGGTGTGACACACACTTCCAGTTCACACTTCCTGCTCTCCTGCGTCCGCCCGCCCTCTGTGGTGCTTGGAGGTGGACTAAGGCCACTTCCTGGCGGAATGGGCTGTGTGCTTTGGCTCCAGCACTCGGTGCCCAGAGGAGGTGCCGGCTGTGCTCTAGGGGTGCAGGTGCAGGTGCTTCCACACACCTGAGGGTGGGCAGCTCTGAGAGGACCGTGATCTTTGCTTCCCCAAATTTATTACCAAAGAGCAGCATCTAGTGGGAGGTCTGTGGCTGGTGACTTTGCCCTGGGGTGGCTCACTCTGTAGTTGTTCCAGAGCAGGTATGACCCAGCTGATTCCCCCCGAACTTACCTGCTGAAATGGCCCATTTCTGTCCATCCTTTGGAAAAGCATTTACCGAGTGCAGGAGATGCCAGGCACAGTAAGGTCCGCAGCTCACGTGAGACTGAGTACTTCCTTAGAGCCCAGTAAGGTGCAGTCTGGTCTCCCAGTGCCTGCTGGTGTGAGCGAGTCTAGAGGCCACCCAGGGAGGGAAGGTCACTTTGGTTCTGCTCTAATTTATAGAAGCGAATCGTTTGCCGCTTTGGCCCTCTCGGTCACTGGTGATCTGCAGTGAACATCACCTGTGCTTGAAAAGATACTAGAATTTATTCCAACCTTGCTAACCAGGTACAGAGACCACACTGCTCCCCATGCGCCTCTGAGGCCCTAAGGTGAAGAGGCTTCAACAGCAGCATGTGGTCCCTGGAGCACCCAGATAGCTCTGGGACAGGCCCCGGGGAGCCCGGCGTGGTCCTGCCCACAGCCCAGGCACAGGAGGCCTGCTTGTCCCTCTGTGACCCACTTTCATCTGCTTAGGCCAGTGAGGTCTCAAGACAGACACATGTTCTTTATCTCTGTATTTAACACAATCATAGAAAGCCCCAGAGTATCATTAAAGAGTGTTACAAGAAAAAATTAACTTACAGTTTTAAAAGCATAATACAGCTTGTTCTTCTCCACAATGGTCTATACTGATAAATAAACATTTTGGATTCAGACAATGGCATCCTTTCAGTTTTTCACTGACAATTAGTATTTCTCACAATGTGGGCATTTTCGACTTAGCTGCAGTCTGGTGTCTGTGCAGGCCGTGAGTGTGGAAAGGTCAGAGGCTGCATGGTTATTTGTTCCACCCTATCCTTGATTGAGTCATTCGGCTCCCACTTTCCTGATTTAGCCATCAGCCCCTTCATAGATGGCAGACATCGTTAGCATGCTAGTTTTTGCAAAGTACTATAAGGATATAATTCCTTTTATTTATTTTTTTTATTTGGTAGAACACTATAAAATTATCTTGCTGCGATGATGTTTAAAAAAAATCAAGACTGGGTGGGCTTAGTGGCTCATGCCTATAATCCTAGAACTTTGGGAGGCCAAGGTAAGAAGATCGCCTGAGGTCAGGAGTTCAAGACCAGGCTGAGCAAGAGCAAGACCCTGTCTCTGCTAAAAATTAGAAAAAATTAGCCAGGTGTGGTGGCGCGTGCCTGTAGTCCCAGCTACTTGGGAGGCTGAGGCAGGAGGATCCCTTGAGCCCAGGAGTTTGAGGTTGCTGTGAGCTAGGTGGACGCCACGGCTAGCCTGGGCAAAAGAGGGAGATTCTGTCTCAAATAAATAAATAAATAATAAACAAACAAACAAACAAACTCAGCAACAATCAACACAGAAGAGGACGTCTGTGACCAAATACTGTTTTTCCCTCACACACCAAGCAGCAGACACCTGCTGGGTGTCCTCTAATTTAATTCTTATATTATCTACCTGGAGATAGCGTCAGATTCCACAGGGTGAGGGCTCAGTCCCCAACATGGCCCAGTTACCCTAGATACCAGCCACAAGTCCAGGCCTCCAGAGCTTCTGACCTCCCAGCTTCAAGTTGGGGTTCCCACAACGACCCCCTCCCTCTGGTTTCGATTAATTTACTAGAGTGGCTCACAGAACTCAGGGAAACACATTTATTGATTTACTCTAAAGGATATTACAACAGACACAGATGAAGAGATGTGTAGGGCGAGGTACAGGGGAAGGGTTATGGAGTTTCCATGTCCTCCCTGGGCACATTGCCTTCCAGGAACCTGCTCATGTTCAGCTCTCTGAACCCAGTTCTTTTGGGTTTTTATGGAGACTTCATTACATGGGCATGATTAACAACCATGTAGAAACATGACTGGTCAAAACAGCATATGATCCAAGCCCAGCAAGGCCTGTCTGTCCAGATTCTTCCTGGCCTCCCTGTGTATCATTCCTTCCTCCAGGGTATGAAGCAGGATCCTCAGACCCAAAATCAGATTGGAGTCCTGCCTTGGGAAGGTGATATAGGAGAACAGGAGCAGGTTAGAGAGAGATTCTGTCTCCTGAAGCCTAAATCACCCCAACATTGTAACAAGATTCACCCTGGAGAATAGGAGGTGATGGGGGCCCTGGACATGGATTTTGCTGGATACTCAACTGTTTTATGATGCCATCTCTGCAGACAGGCAGTAGGCCTCAGAGCCAAAGATTAATAGTAGCTCCGGCCTCACTTGGTGTTTGTATGGAATTAAATATGAAAATGCATGTGGCATACTACATGCCCAGCTTATAAAAGACACCCAATAAGGGTTCATATTATCTAAAAAAATAAATGATCCAAATACACGGGAGGGGAAGAAACACTGGAACGAGGATGAGGAATCCAAGTGGCGCTACTTGCACTTGTAACTATGGGACTCGTGTCAGAAACCGTGGATGAAAACCAAATATACGTATGACACCACAGACTGATCTTGCTGTGTTGCCCAGGCTGAACTACAATGGCTGTTGACAGGTGCAATCATAACACACTACAGCCCCAAACTCCTGGGCTCAAGCAGCCCTCCTGCCTCAACCTCCTGAGTAGCCGGGATTACAGGCAAACACCACGGTGGCTGGCTTCCCAAAGCACACCTTAAGAGCAGCTGAAATGGGCTGGGCGTGGTGGCTCATGCCTGTAGTCCTAGCACTCTGGGAGGCCGAGGTGGGTGGATTGCTTGAGGTCAGGAGTTTGAAACCAGCCTGAGCAACAGCGAGACCCCGTCTCTACTAAAAATAGAAATTAATTGGCCACCTAAAAATATATATACAAAAAATTAGCCAGGCACAGTGGCACATGCCTGTAGTCCCAGCTACTCAGGAGGCTGAGGCAGGAGGATCGCTTGAGCCCAGGAGTTTGAGGTTACTGTGAGCTAGGCCGACGCCAAGGCACTCACTCTAGCCTGGGCAACAAAGTGAGACTCTGTCTAAAAAAAAAAAAAGAGCAGCTGAAACTTAGGTGGAGTTGCATGAGTACAGGTCTGTCTAGGAAGATAAACTGGTGATGGGGACAGGGATGTCTTTGTAAAGAGGAAGGTGTCTTGGTCCATGGTAGGAACATCAAAGGGGATCTTAGAAAGATATCGGTGGAGGGTGAGGGCTAACATTTAGTTACATTCAAATCTGTCCTGGACCAAGGCAAGTGTTTATTCAACAAACATTTTCTCCAAAGTTATGTTGGTCCAGTTATGCAGCCAGAATGGAGTGGTTGTGGGGTCAAATGTTAGTCCCACTGGACGAAGCGATTAGTGCAGGGAGCCTGAAGGATTTTTCTCAAGGTTTTTTGTGAAGATTTAATGAGAGATGGGAAACATCTATTCACTCTTTCCTACCTTCTCTGCTGCACTGAAGGCCCCGCCTGGCTCCTACCTATGGGAGGCAGCGCCATGTGACATCAGGACCAACCAGTATCACCTACAACATCAGTGTGGTCTTAACACAGCTTGTCCTCCCAGCAGCTCCTGCCATTTCACAGAAAAGTTCAAATAATTTGCCCACAGTCTCAAAACTACAATACAAAGGTAGACTCCGGGGCAACTCCACAGCCCACATTATCACTGACTTGTGGGCTGCTAACCTTCCAAATAACTTGTCTGTATTTGTGAAAAATGGGAAACGAAGGGGAGTTTAAAAATTAGCTTCCAGATGGATACCACTTGAATTTACTGAGAAATGCTTTTATTTACATACAGCCTTGTATCTGCCAACAATTGTGCAGCAAAAAGAGCTGGTATTGCCCTTGTTTCATAGTTCAGCAAACATCTATTAAATGGCAGAGCCAGGGTTTTAACTTCCCATGTAGGTTCCGTGCATTTGTCTGACAAACTGTGTGCCCCATCTATCATACGTGTTCTCCGTTCTTTTTACATTTTGTATTCCTGATCATGAACTTTTAATTCCTCAGTGAGTCCCAACCTGCATTTTCTAACACCCAACCATGTCATAATAAGGCCAGATCAGCAATGTATTTATTCAGTGCAGGACACAGGCCTCCAGATTTCTTTATCTTTTGTCATGAAATTCTTAAAACTGTGGATTCAGTTTACCAGGGGGAACGCTGGTGGTAGGGGTGGGAGTTGGGATTAAACAGGGTTACTGTGATGTAAAGGTTACAGACAGCAGTAAGAGTGTTGTCTGCCTCCCAGATTCATCCTGGAGAATAGGAGGTGATGAGGGCCCAGGACATGGATGTATGCTGGCTACTCAACTGTTGTTTTATGATGCCGTCTCTGTGCAGACAGGCAGTAGGCCTCAGGGCCAAAAGTTAATAGTAGATCTGGCCTCACTTGGTGGTTGTATGGAATTAAATATGAAAATGCAAAAGTTAATAGTAGCTCTGGCCTCACTTGGTGGTTGTATGGAATTAAATATGAAAATGCATGTGGCATACTGCATGCCTAGCTTATAAAAGACACCCAGTAAGTGTTAATTATCTAAAAAAAAAAATAAAACAAATGATCCAAATACACGGGAGGGGAAAAAACGCTGGAACGAGGATGAGGAATCCAAGTGACGCTACTCGCATTCAATAAACCTTTCCTGCCTTTGCGCCGCTAACGTACTGTGTCCCAGAAACATGGACTAAAATTTCCAGGACTTCGCTGAGGTCGAACCGCCTGTTTTCTCTTCGCCTTAGGACGGCTGCACCTTAATCTGCGCGTTACTCCGCGAAGGCCGGACACGCAGGGCCTGAAGGGCCGGGGACACTCCCGCAGCTGCGAAGAGGACAGTAACAGACGGCAAGCAAGTCGGGCTCGGAAGCGGCGCAGCTCACGCGCGGCGCCATGTCTCCCAGACCGGCGCGAGGGTGGGAGGGCCGCTGGCGACGTCACTTCCGTCTTTCCTGGCTCTGATTGGCCAGAATGCTCGGCGCTTCTGATTGGCAGGGCCCGCTACAATCCCAGGGTACCTTGCGGCGGCGATTCCTTTCCGCTCGGCTGTTCTCCTGCGCAGGAGGTGAGCGCCTCTTGTCCTGACTCCGTCGGGCGCCATCCGTCCCCATCGGGCACCATCCAGCCCCATCGGGCACCATCCAACTCCTTCTTGCTCTTTCCACCGCCATCGGCCTAGCGTTGCGGCCGAAGCAGCTATGGAGGGGCCTCGGGCCCAAGCCAGGGCCTCTTTGACGGCGTCGGGGCGGGCCCGGGGCCTCGGCTCCTCCGGTCGCGGCGGGACGGCCGGGGGCTGAAGGGCTCTGCGGAGTGTGCCCGGTCGCGGGGCGCGCGCCCGCGGCCGGCCCTCACTCGTCTCGGCCGCTCCTCCTCTCCCTGGCGCGCCCCCAGGGCCGTAGGCCCCAGCCCATGGCGGCCCAGCCGGGAATGGCGCTTCATGCATATCTGAAGCCGGTCACTTCCACGAACGGATTGGCAGCGGCGCCGTGCGCCACGCCCTGCCCGCTTCAGAGACCAGGCCGGCCCGCGAAGATCCGCAGGTGAGTGGGCGCGGCCGCCGGAGCCCGCGCGTTCCCCAGGTGCCCGACCGCGGGCACGCGGGGCGGGTGCACGCGTCGGGGGGTGACTGCCGGCCTGGCGGCTTCCTCTGCAACAGACGCCCAAGGCTCGCCGGCAAGCGAAAGCGCGCCCGCATTCGCCCGCGCCCGCGTCGGCGACCCATCCGGCCCATCGCCCCTGCGCGGTGGCCCCACGTTGCGGCTATTCACACCAAAGTGCGC